ATTACATCGACGACTACCCTGATGAGCACCATAACTCTAACAGCGTCAGCTACAAATACCGAAGCTTCAGCTGGGTCTAGGGCATTATCAAGGGTTACAATAGCTGGAATCGTAGGAAGTAGCGTTCTTCTTTTAGGTCTACTCATAGGATTTGGCTTTTGGACTCGTCGAAGGAAAAAAACGAGATTAAATGGTCTAGGTCAAGTAAAAGATCTAAAACCAAATTGTATGTATTGCTTGTTACATCGAGAAGTTAATCTCACTCGACATCCATAGGGCGACCTCCTCCACGTATGCCCATTTCGGATGAGCCACGACCAAGTAACAACTTATCGTTCATGGACTCTGCACCAGGATCACAGACTGCGTTGATTGATGCATCTGCCATGTTCCTGGTTGAAACATTATCTAGTTCGACTTTCAGTGACCACCAGCACCACCCTCCGAGCGACGTCAATCGAACTTCAATCTTCAACTGGCAGAACGCCTCTGAAATTAATAATTCTGTCGAAGATCTTATTTATCTCCCACAGTCTGAGGCGCCGTCTTCAATAGCAGAGACATCGAGCTTGAGAGAATCTGGGTTCTTCGCTTTCTCTCGGCGCTATATCACTTCTCCTATGTCTGGTGGTGATCGAGCGCTATCTCCTGCTTTGGTGGAGGGCATTTATCGCTCTAGTATACGACCGTGCACGGCACACTCGGAGGCTATGACGGACGATATTCCTCCGGCCTATCAGCGATCATAAAGAAGTCGTCTGTAGAATAATGTATATTATGTCCTTTATCCTATTTATTGGTATCCATCCCACTCCACCCTCTCCGTAACAATTATATGCAAATTTTCTGCCAAGAGCTACAGCCCCAATCATAAAGCTAGTAGCCTTGTCACTGAGGGAGTTGCTCGTACAACATGTACCCGAGTACCCCTAAGCCGTTGGAGGATTTCCCAGAGTTTATGGGGCAAGCAAATAAATCAGACCTGGTAAACTCAAAAAGTAAGTGACATGATATGATAGAATGCCTCACGATAATTCATAACGGTGCTCTTAGTTCCTGAGACACAAGTAGTTGGGCCAGTCCTATTACAGAGCAGGTTAATAATGAGATACATATGGTGTACTTTTTGTGGGCCTGGGTAAATCACACGGACCAATCGCCCGGGTAGACGTGTGTTTAACACATGGGTCGTATTCATCATACCCAAAAATCTCTCCACAACTGTCTATGAATGATAACTTCTCAATAGAAGCGGTCGTTCTCCACAAATTTTAAATAAATCTGATATATCAGCAGAAGTTGTAGTTACTGTCTTGTTAGTCGCTATATCTCGGGTCTATTTTTATTTTTATTCTCCTATAAATTATAGTACTTCTATCATGAACTGGGTGCGGTCGAACATTACGCTGTACCTCTTGACACCGGAAGAATCGACGTAGATTGTGCACATCATCTTGCATATCTAGTAGAAAGTCCATCCCACTGATCCATTCCACACTTCCAACTGGAATCCTATTCTCGTAGATCTCTTCTCTAAGCGCTTTACCTTCGATCTCAGGTACAGCTTGCTACCAGTCGTCATTCGAGAGGCCATTTCTTTGTATGCGCTTACGGTATTTAGGGAGTATGATTTTGCATAGCATTAGCTCGTTCTTCGTGCGTCAAACTCTTGGCGGTGCGATTCCCTTGTTCAACAAATATAGGTCAGATTTATAACCAGCCGAATTTTGACCTTCGAAATTGTTTTCGAATACTCATGAACAGCGCCAACCAACGGAATAAAGTCATTTCACAGCAGTACTTCCGCTTTCGGACGTATTCCTTGCCCTACAATAGCGTGTGAAGCTAATAGAATTTGAACTTATGCACATGAACAGAATAGGATGCGGCGCTTCTTGATGGAGAGCAAGACGGTATCACTTATTTAAATAATACAGTGGAAAGCGAGCAAAGGTAGTGAGCGGAGTTTAGATCTAGACGAGGCTGGATTCTAGGTATACTCAAAGACTATACTATAGCTCTATATTTCGCAACTACCCGCCAAATCCTTACAATATGATAGTTTGAGCGATGTCTGAAATCGTTACTCGCTATCTGCAGGCAACTCGAATCACTGCGTGGATTTTGCACTCTTCCCAGGGAGGCATACCTGGTTTTTCTATTGTAATAGTGTAGCAGTGGGACACTGGTGTACGATTGATTGTTCTCGGATGCTGCCACTGAATAGGCATTTAGCTACGAAGAAGATGATGACGTAGAAGTGGTTAGCCATGAACAACTTATGTGAGCTTACAGCTGAGGATTCTTTCATCGTGAGTTCCATTGTACTTTGGAGTGGTAAGTGGAAGGTGAAGTCGAGTATGGTGTGGAAGGGCTGGACGATATTGTTGTGCGTCTACTGTGTATGTGGAAATTATGCTCACAATGGCAATTTACAACGCGAATAACCAATTACTCATATCGCCTTGTCTGATCTATGCTATCTATGACTCATATAATGACGCTTGGAATTTCATAACCGCTTCAGAAAGTCTGATATATTGTCTTAGAAAAGGTCAGGAGTGTGGTAACACTGTTATCTTAAGCGTTATGAGGGACTAAACTGCATTCAGGACGGCTTCGCTGCTAAAAAGTTCTAAAAACGCTAGTCTATTCAAAGCACATTACACACATCTGTCCGAAACTAAGCCGTTGACAAGAACATTAAAGATATATGATCGAAACTGAATCGTGACAAGAAAACTGACTACTGAAAGTTCTTAAAGAATACTACCAAGACCGAGAGTAACGAAGGTGAGCGTGAATCCAAGGCCTTTCAACAGGACCCCGACATCAATCAATCTGTGATGGATAAACATTCTTAGATTATGTTAATTCCATGACCAGAACGTTGAGACTTACAAGACGGCAACGAGCTTGATGACACCAACGAGCAGGATGTCCAGACCGAGAAGAATCTTGTTGAGAGCCGCATCAATACCAAATTTGAGGAAAAGAGGTGCGAACTCGGGCTTGTGCTTCTTTACGTTGTCGAGGCTGACTGCGATGTTCTGAGAAACAAGTTAATTAGTTGTAGTCTGAGTATTGATAGACGCATAAATATGTACGTTATAGACGGGAGCGACTGCGTTGGCAACATCTTGCTGCGATCCGCCGGAGTTGGTATTAACATTTCCCTGAAGATTGGTGAACGAGGTCGACGCGGTCCCGAGGGCATCGGAGAGCTGATAGAGAAGAGGAGAGAGATTGTCCTCAGTAGCAGAATTAGTAGCGATAAGCGAGTCTAGAAGAAATATAAGTCCAGATCATTAAGAATATATGGCTAAAGCTTACCGATCTGGGGAAGGATAGTGTCGGAGCTTCCCTGGAGGGTGTTGACGACAGCAAGGATATCAGAAACGTCTTCACGTTTCTCGACGGTGACAGCAGTGGGGATGGCTGCGGCGGAGATGACACCAAGAGTGAGGAAAGAGAACAAGAAGCGAGAAGCGATCATATTGAAGGTGGTTAGATTGGTGAGAGAGGTTTGAAAGTCGAGAGAGGAGCTGCTGAATTTGCTGCTTGACCGAGGTGTTGCTTTTCGTCTCCCTTATATACGTCTAGGGGCTAGTAATATTCATCAAATCGTGAGTACTTCTTGCATCTTCGTGCTATTTTTTTTTCATGACTATGCAATGACGTTCATTTTACAATTTCATCAACCTGTGGGAGAATAAAATGGTCATTTGGCATTGTCGAATAGCACAAAGGAGGAATCGAAACGGCAGACGGTGGTAATAGAACCTCGACACTCCCCATTGATGGGTATTCTGAGGACATATCAGTTAGTTAATAGGAAGAAGCACATGTATTTGTTAAGACTGCATCGTTAGAAAGTGAAAAAAAAAAATAGATCGGTGATGTCATGAGAAAGTTAAATGATACGAGGATTTGGCTAGCGCCTTAGGAGTTTGTGACCCATTCAATATCCCCAGATTATAATAGCTGAAGTAGAAGGCGTCTTGAAATTTTCTTTTAAACATTATTTTAATAATATATTAAGAATACTTAAAAGAATGCACTTACTTTACAGCATCTGCGACTGCGAGTAGCTGGCTCCGAACTTGCCCGTTATGCTAGTTTTGACATCGAAGCGTTATCGTTATATGTCAATGACGAAAGCACCGTTTTGACAGCTGCCCCGATAGTGACTGATCTCCGGGCCACGAGTGTAAACAAGGCAGTGATTCTACGAGCGTCAATGAATGGAATCGCAGTTAGGTAGGATGAAATTTTGACTGAAAGGAGAAAGATCTGCACTATGACTTCATAGTAGTAAATTGCGTTTTTGGAGTATACCTCACGACATCCAACGTTTGCGATGTCACGTACGCTCAGTGGTAGAGAAGCAAGCTACAAGTAATAAAAGGCAGCACAGTGCCTCGCGTTTTCCAGCCTTGAGTGATCCTCGGGATGAAAACAGCATGAAGCTATGTATTCGAGCCAAAAGAATGGTTCAACATTGCCGGAGAAACTTACTCCACCTCATCTATCAGCAGAAGTTCTTGAATGTGGCGATTCAGATAGAGAGTGACTAAAGTAGGCCGCACAATTTCAGTTATCTTTTGTCTAGAAGATCCGGCTTGTTTCTAAGAGGGGAATTAGACAACCTAGAGATGAAGAAGCGGTTCCCGAGAATAGCTTCTATCGCAGTGACAGTTCAACAACAGCCAACCCCAAGGTCAAACCGCAGTTCGCTCCTATGGACAACAGTTCTTAGAGGTAATTGAGGGCGCGTAAATTGAATAACGTCAAATTAAAAGTAGCAGAACATACCCCGGGTGGTCTTCAGTAGCAAGTGAAGGACGTTCATGTTGACGCATTCTCATGATCACACGTCCGTGTGCTGAATAAGGTTTCGGCGACCTCCGCATAGGCGTTAACACCCCGTCAAATAAAATACCGCAAAGTTTAAGAGGTCAAATTCTGAACCTAATTTTACAGAAGAAATATTAGAGACTCGCACTATAGCCAAGTGGTTACGGTGACAGATTCGGAGTCCCACATTATCTGCTCCTCTTTGAGGGCGCAGCTTCAAATCCTGCTGGCGTCGTTTCTTTCGCAGAATCTCTTTTTTTGTAGAAACCACCTTCTTTAAACAGCCTTACGGATCACAAAATGAATTAAAAGATTCCTCAGGCAAGTATGATTCATGCTTCGAATCCGTAACACTACGTTGAGTGATTCTTGTTAATACTTCTTTCAACACATATACCTTCGTACTCGTAACTCATATCGTAAGAGAGCATTAATAGATATATCCGAAAATAAAATGAACTCGCATCGTCAAGAGTCCTCGCCCTCTTTTTATGGGATTGCCTAGACTACACAGGTTATCCCTCATCAGACGCTCCAACAATTCCTTTATTGCCAGCCGCTCCCATTCCACAGCCCAAGAGGTCCAAACAAGGTAGAGGGAGTCTTCACAACTTCCCTCCAGCAGCCACCCTCGCCGCCCTCTCTGCCTTGATCTCCTCGGCGAGCACAACCATCCGAATCGTGACCCTTCACTTCGGGGAGAAGCGTGAATCTAGCGCCGGCGATACAGCATCCAAAGAAGACTAAACATTCGTATCAATTTCGTCAGGGACTATACTTTGGGATGGAAGAGGAAGGGAAAAACGCACTCCAGAGAATCGCAGGTGTACCAATACTCTTACTCAAGGTGTTGAACGCAAGCGCAGAGATGATAGCGCCTGCTTTCCCAGACGCAGCTGAGATTCCATGTGCGGAGGCGCGGAAGCGGGTTGGGAAGACTACGTACACACATCGCCAGCATTATCATCAGTCTTTCTCTCTTTTTTATGGATAGCAGAAGGAACGTACCCTCAGCAGGATAACAATACGTCGTGGCATTCGCCCCAAAGTTGAAGAAGAACTGCAAAAAGGCGAAGCACACAATGAAGGACACCGTGCCCAGTTCGTTGAACCTCGCAGCGAGGATGGCGAGGAAGAGCGCGGCGAGGAGGAAACCTTGGATTTGGATCCATTTGCGTCCGAGGATTTCGATTGTGAGGATGGTGGCGTAGTATCCTGTGGATTGGAGCAGCGTTAGCGGCGTGATAAAGAGAGTGGAGGGGAACAGGAGAAGAGGAAAAACGTACCAGGGACGAAACCCAATGCAGTGACGATAATGTTACCGGTGGACACCTTGAAAAGACGTTCCCACGGGGTTCCTTCCTTGCCGGCGAAGCCCATCTGCTCCAGCACGACGTTCTGATTCAAGTTGATGCCGTAGAATCTACATGGACAAGCGTCAGCAATCCTATACACGGAGAAAGAGAGAGAAAGAAGTAGGGGGAACTCACGCAATGTCAAGCAAGAACCAACACATACACGTCCCGATGAGCAGCTTCGCGTGACGCCATTCCGAAAAGTAGGTGATGAATTCTGTTAGCGTAACGCATCAGCGTTAGTTCTTCCTCCTCCACTTCCAACCCAAATATAGCAAGTGAAAACTCACCTTTGAAATGCGCCTTCTTCTCAACCAACTTCTCCGGCTCCAGCGCCTCCGCATCCTCCTCTGCCTCATCGTCGCTCGTCGACGCTGAAGGAGTGTTCGGCTCCTCCTTGATAAGCACATCCCCCTTCTTCTCATCGCTCTCAGAGGTCGTCTCACTGACTGGCTCCTTCTCCTCCGTACTCCGTCTTCTGCCTTCATCCGTTGCCGTTGCCTTTGGTACATTCCCCATCCGCACATCCTCCTCCCTCTGCGCCTTCTTCAGCTCCTCAATATCGTCCATCTCGAGCTCCCTCCCCTCCTTATGATGCTGGTTGATCTTCTGCGAGGCGATGAAGCGCGTCGATTGGGAGAAGGTGAGGTGCTGGTAGAGCGTGCCGAAGGCGGGGATGAGCAAGAGGCCGATTACTATGCGCCAGACCGAAGGGGGAGGGGGAGTCAGTAGTGTGTTCTAGAAGAGAAAACAGGGCTGAAAACGCACCTACATCAACACGACTAGTCTTCCCGGCCTCCATCACGCTCTTGTAACACGCCAGAATGATGATAGTAGCCAAACTACCGACGAACGAACTCCATCCTGGTTTGAGAAGATGTATGCGAGCATCTGTCGGGGCGGAGGTTAACGAGCGTTTACACGCAAACGATCCCAACACCCTACATCTCATCCCGTGGATACGCTAAGAAACGAGAAATGAAAAACAAAACTCACAGATCTCTTCCTCAAATTTGCTCGGTCACTCGTAATACTGGCGCTCATGGAATGATCCCCGCCTACGCAGACTCCGAGGAGGATGCGGAACACGCTAAGGTAGATGAGGCATGCATGGGGGAGAGGGACCCAGTGGGCGTGATGAGCACGATGATAGTGGCGAACATTATGAGCATGAGTTCTTTGCCGTCTAAGGGAGGAACCAGGATAAGGATAAGTAAAGAAAAAGGGGAAGATGGAGTGGAAAAGACTCACAGACGGCTTTACAGCCAAGGGCATCTGCTGATCAAGTAGCCTGTACGCATGTAGAGGAGAGGGTGGGCATTAGCGAGACGTTCATGTAGGAGAGCCGTGTGAATGAATATAGGCAGGTTCGAAGTAGATGAGTGGGCACAGCCACGAGCACTTGGTCAAAGCCTGATTGGACGACAACTACGACGATCAACGTGAGACAAGGGCGGTGATAAGGACCCCGAAAATCCGTATAGACCTGATTCTAGTTTGGCAAATTTTATAGACAGATTTACGGCATTCCTATATAGATAACTCCTCATGCCTACCGCTCAGGTAGACTTTATATAGACAGAGGCTCAAGCATATTATTTATTTATTTATTCTCTTTTTATTTTTTGGCCAGTAAAACCAATTGTTTCTTGCCAAATAACCATTTTTGATCATTCTCGCATAGAGGCTATATCATCCAAATGTTTGGTAGCGTAATCTTGCAAAATATGTAGTATTGTATTGTTTAAAGTATGACTGAATAAAGAGATTTGAGAGCCATTATAATGTAGAAGAGACCATATATAATCTTATTATGTTTAAAAAGTCGAAATATATGTCGTTATGTGGTCTTTGTCTACATTCTAACCGAAGTTAACAAAAAGTTAACGAAAAGTTAGGTTAGTACAAACAAGACCAAATTAACTTGTGAAAATACTTTTGGGATTTCTGAGCTCAGTTCTGAATAAATACAGTTAAATTAGACAGATTATTGAACTGTATAATATACCTCTCGGAATATGCTTTGATCAGTCTTCAAAGATGAGTATTCGATAATTCATCGGCTCGTCACTGACAAGCAATGATGAGCCCACCATTGCCCATATTTGGCTCATCGACGTCCGCTTTGGGACCGTGATGATCGCGGCCATCACGCTCGGTGATTGGTGTAGGTTCAGTGCTCATTCGGTGCTTGTGAGCGTCGTAATCTACACATCTATTATTTCTCTGCCAAGTTAGAACATAATTAACTTGGCTTGACTTTAACTTTAACTTCGGAAATTAACTTCTGCCAAAAGTTAGGTCAAGTTAATTTTATAAGGGACAAGTTAATTAGAAAAGTTAATTTCCTAAGCATCGGTAGTACTTACTACTGTTAGCTGACGAGTCATAAATTTTAAGAACTGCACTCAGACCGGCTTCGCTGCTCAGAAGTTCTGAAAACGCCTGCATATTCAAAGGACATTAGACACATCTGTCCGAAACTAAACCATTGACAACGACATTAGACACATTTGATCGAAACTAAACCATGGCGAGGACATTAACTACTGAGAATCCTTAGAGAATACTACCAAGACCGAGAGTAGCGTAAGTGAGCAGGAATCCAAGGCCATTCAAGAGGCTTCCAACGTCAAGCAGTCTGTGGTGGATAATTTTTTATTAGATTGTGCTAATTCGATGACCTGGACGTTGAGACTTACAAGACTGCAATGAGCTCGACAACACCAGCAAGCAGGGTGCCCAAACCCAGAAGAAGATTGTTGAGAGCCGCATCAGTACCGAATTTGGTGAACAAAGACGCGAATTCGGGATTCTGCGTTTTCAAGTTGTTGAGGCTGACCACGATGTTCTGCAAAATAAGTTGGTTAGCTGCATTCCGAGTATTGATCGGCGCATGAAGATGTACCCTATAGATGGGAGCGACTGCGTTGGCGACATCTTGCTGCGATCCGCCAGAGTTGGTATCAACCCTGCCCTGAAGATCGGAGTATGTCTCAAGACTGGCGAGTGAGCTCGATGCGGTATTCAGGGCAGCGGTAAGGTCGTTGATAAGAGGCGTAACATTTTCATCAGTAACATTGCCAAGATTGGCTAAGGGAATTATCAGAACAGAACATTAAGGATGTATTCCTAATACATACTGATCTGAGGAAGGATAGCATCGGTGCTTGACTTGAGGGTATTGAGGACAGTCTTGATATCAGCAGTACTCTGACATTTCTCGACGGTGATAGCAGCGGGGGTGGCTGCGGCGGAGATGACGCCGAGAGTGAGGAAAGAGTACAAGATGCGAGAAGCGATCATGGTTGGAGGTGGTTAGATTAGTGAGAGAGATTTGAAAGTCGTCAGAGGAGCTGCTGGATTTGCTGCTTGATTGATGAGTCGGTTTTTGTCTTGCTTTTATCACTAGACCTTGTCAGTCCGATATATTGACATCTGTAATGAGCGTACAAAGTTGATAAATTATGTCTGAAGACTTACAAAAGTGTTGCGGCATCTCTACACCGTTCAGTATTAGTTTGTCGGAAGTTTCCAAACCCGATTTGATCGATTATAAGCATTATTGCTAATTAGAAAACATTAGACTAACTCGACCGTCGTTCTTGTTGATGGATCTTGTTTACTTTTGGAGCGATTCGGCCCCACATTCCTTGCACTTCCGAACCCGAGCTCGGCACCTAATGCCTGCACCAGGTAGTACAGAGAGCCTTGGTCTTCCATCGTCCTCCGCAAACGACAGATGTACTACACATACATACGAACATTCATAAGTTGTTGTAGCCGTTCCTTGAAGGAATTGCAAACTCATTATTGTCATGAGCTAAGTGAGCCACCCACACTGAGAGAAAAAACTCCGATTGTTTGAATCACTCCAAAA